GATTTGATCTTGGCAAGATAAGCTATCATGGAGGGCTCTTTGGCCTCATAGCTGCCACTGATCTGATATGCAACTAGCTGAGAGTCTGTTTTTAAGCAGACATGATCGGCTTCCAAGGAGATGCATAATTGTAGGCCGGCGATTGCTGCCTCATATTCGGCTTCATTGTTCGAGGCCTTAAAAGAAAATTTTAGTGCATACTCAAAGGATTTGCCTTCGGGAGAAGTTATCACTACTCCTGCCCCCGAACCGTTCTCGGTGGAAGACCCATCCGTAAACACGGTCCAGACTTTCTTTTCATTGTCCAGCGCTTCTTGGTATGAGCATTCGGCCAAGAAATCCGCTAGGGCTTGAGCCTTAATGGCAGCCCTCGGACGGTAGCTGATGCTGAATTCGGTGAGCTCAAAAGCCCACTTGGCTAGCCTACCGGATTTTTCAACCTTGCCGAGAACTTTTTCCAACGGCTGATCAGTTAAGACCATTATCTGATGGCAATCAAAATAGGGCCTCAGCTTCCGAGCAGCTACTACTACCGCGAAAGCAACTTTCTCGAGTAGAGGATAGCGGGTCTCGGCATCCGTCAGTGTATGACTGACAAAATAGATCGGTTGTTGACTCTTACTCTCTTCCCTCAGCAATACTGCGCTGATGGTGGCCGGGCTAACGGCCACATATAGGTATAGAGTTTCTCCTTCAGCTGGGCTAGCCAGCGTTGGGAGTTGAGCCAGATGCTCCCGAAGCTGTTGAAAGGCGTCTTTTTGCTCTTCCTCCCAAACAAGCTCTTTTGTTTTCGGGAGTTTCAGGGCTTTGAAGAAGGGTAACCCCTTATCCGAAGCTCTGGAAATGAACCTCGAGAGGGCTGCCATTCTTCCGGTGAGCCGCTGAACATCCCGCTTCGTTTTCGGCTCAGGAAGGTCGAGAGCCGCTTTGACTTTAGAGGGATTGGCATCAATCCCCCTTTTGCTGACCATGAAACCCAGGAATTTCCCTGACTTCACGCCGAAGACACACTTCTTCGGATTCAGCTTCATTTGATGCTTTCTCAAGGTGGCGAAAGTTTCAGCCAGGTCCTTTACATGGTCCTCTAGTTTTTTGCTTTTGACGATTGAATCGTCAACATAGACTTCCATGTTTCGGCCCTTTTGATCGGCGAAAACTTGATCCACCAGCCTTTGATAGGTTGCCCCCGCATTTTTCAATCCGAAGGGCATCATTTTGTAATTATACACCCCAGCGTTCGTGACGAATGCTGTCTTGGCTCGATCGTCGGGGTGCATAAAGATCTGATGATACCCCGAGAATGCGTCCATGAAACTAAGCAAGGCATGGCCACTTGTCGAATCGACTAGCTGATCGATTCTCGGCAAGGGATAGAAATCCTTTGGGCAAGCCTTATTTAGGTCCGTGAAGTCAACGCACATCCTCCAGGTACCATTGGGCTTCTGAACCATCACCACATTTGCCAGCCATTCCGGATATTGGCAAGGTTCAATGAACCCTGCCTCCAATAATTTTTTGACTTCGGCTGCGATGTCTCGGTTCTTATTGGCGGAGTAGTTCCGCTTCTTTTGCTTAACTGGTCGACACGTTGGGTCAACATTAAGCTTGTGGGAGATGAGGTCTGAACTTATCCCGGGCATATCAGCTGCCGAGAAAGCAAACGCATCTCTGTTATCCCGAAGGAGCTGAATAAGTTCACAACGGGTGTTAGGATCAAGGTCCATCCCGATTGTTACACATTTCTCAGCATCTCCTTCGGCCAACTGAACTGTTTCAGTCTGTTGGTCCATGTCCATTGCCGATGGACTGGACTCTTCAGAATCTGGTCTGCTGCCAATGTCAGCAGGTGTCCCAGTCTTTGTGTTCTTCGGCTGGCTCTCTGAGTCTTGCGGCTCAGCTGAAGAGTCAACCTTTTCCCTTTCGGGACCTTTTTCTCTGGGCACGGATCCTTGGGCCGAAGCACTTAGGCCTTTCGGCTTTTTTGTGCTTGGCTCTCTTTCTTTTTCTTTCTCCTCCTCATCCTTGTCGTCATCTGGGCGACTACTGGATGGCTTGAGGTAGTTGCACCTTCGGGCGTCCTTTTGGTTGCCCTGTATCCTTTCGGGGAAGCCGGCGTCTGAGACGTAAATCATCAGCTGATGATAAGTTGAGACGACCCCTTGGATCTCGTGAATTATGGGTCTCCCCAAAATCACGTTGTACACTGAAGGAGCGTCGATGACCAAAAACTCAATCATGACGTTCCGGGCTGCCTCATCGCAACCGATGGTGACAGGAAGTGTCACCTTCCCATATGGATAAGTTGAAGCCCCATTGAACCCGGATACCGGATAGGGTACCGGCGTAAGGTGCTTGGGCTTCAGCTTAATTTGATTGTAGGCCTTTCGGAACAGAATGTTTGCTCCGCTGCCACCGTCAACAAGGACCTTACTGACGTCGTGGTTGGCCACCGTGGCGATGATCACCAACGGATCCTCGTGAGGGAACGTAATCCCCCGGCAGTCGGCGGCTGTGAACGTCATGTTCGGCACCGGCGACTGGGGAGATTGAATGTCAGCGTTGTTCACCTGGTGAGTCAAAGCTCTAAGGTGACGCTTGTACTCCCTCCGAGAGTATATTCCTCCCGAGATAACATTGATCGGAGGGAATTTCCCCTCCGGTTTTTTACTGTTTTTCCGGGGGAAATCAAGGTCCTGCCGAGGGTCCTTTGCTGACCTCTCGGATTCTTTTTTCTCGCGGTGATCCGCGATGTATTTTTTCAAGTATCCCTTCCGGACCATGTCCTCTATCTGGTCCTTCAGTTGGATACACTCCTCAGTGTTGTGGCCCGAAGACTCGTGGAACTCACACCACTGATTTTTATTTTTTCGCTGATACCACTCTGGGAGTGGTCTCGGCTTTCGGTAACTCTGCTCCTCCTTCGTCACACTGTAAATTTTGGCGCGTGGAAGAGAGAGCGGAGTGTAGGACTCGTATCTGCCTGTGTATGAGGCAAATCTGTCCTTCTTTAGGTCGTTGGCCAAAGATGGCTCCGGAGCCTTTGATTTTCCCTTTGCCTTATGGCCTTGGCCTTCAGACAAGGGTATTTGCCTCTGTTTCCCTCCCCCGGATTGAGGTTGGGTTTTTGCTTTATTCCATTCTTCGGCTCGGATGAACTTATCCGAAGCACTAAGAGCTTCCTCCAAGGTCTGCGGGGTATGCATGACCATGAAGTCTAGGAACTTTCCTGGCTGAAGGCCATTCTGCATTGCAAAAATAGCTAACCCCTGGTCCAGCTGGGAGACGCTTGATGACTCGTTACTGAAACGGGTCAGGTAGTCTCGGAGGCTTTCGGTTTCCCCCTGTTGCAGACTCATGAGCTCTGCGGTAGTCTTCTCTCGGCGGTTTGCCGTGGAAAACTTGCTCCTGAACTTGGAGGACAGATCATCCCAACCTGTTATGGAGCCTTGCCTTACTCCCTTGGAGATCCACGCTTGCGCGACCCCCTTGAGAGTGGTTGGGAAATATTTGCACCAAGTCGCCTCGGATCTGGGGCAAAGATGCATATGAGTCTCATACGAGGCCACGTGGTCCTTCGGATCCGTGGTCCCGTCATATGTGATATGCGACGGTATTTTAACCGTGGGTACGCGCTCTTCCAGTATCCATTGCTCGAATGGTGAACTAGCGGGTAGCATAACGGCCTTGCCCTTGTTCCTGGCCGAAGGGACCGCGCTCCGCCCTCTTAGAGAGGTAGGAGTGGTTTTCGTCCCTGGCTGGGAAGTCTGGGCCTCGGCTGCAGGGAACGAGAGGCGACTACGCACGCTCGGTTCCTGGCCGCCGAGTCGGTCAAGGACGCTTCTGCGAACAGTCTCAGGTTCCCGGCGAGTAGATTCTGGCCGAGAAGCTGAGCTGCTGCTCTTATGCGCTGCTGGTCTTGAGGATGAGGATCCTTTAAATAATTGAGAGTTCTTTTTCCTCTGTTTTTCATCTTTCCAAGAATCCTCCTCCCACTCTTCCAGTTCCCGGAAGGAAGGAAGCTTCCCACCGTCATGGTCTAACTTCCTCCGCTGATGCCGGGTATGCGGAGGAGTTCGATCACGAGGCGGTGGCATATTCTGTGCCCTCATTGCCTCCATGAGTACTGCCAGCGCTCTTGCCACCTCTTCCGAACTGGGCCCCGTCAAAGGGGTCCTCGGCCGAGTGTGGGAATGAGGCCGCGCAGCCGATGGTTGGCTTTGGGACACTGAATATGTCCTATGATCAGACTGACCCCTGCTAGACCGAGAGTGGTCCGGCCTATATTGAGAGTCATGCATTACGGGAGATAGGGAATCCTCCTTGTATGATCCTCCCCCCGAGCCGGCACCCTTGGGAGAGTTCCGGTCCGGCGAGGGCGATGGTGTAGGGGTTTTAGGCTTTTCGCCCGCTCCTTGACGGAGGCTTTTGCTCTTGCGGTTCTTAGCCATGGCTGCTAAGATAATTGCAAGATGATCTTGGTTAGGAATTTGGCTTAAAGATTTTTGAAAGTCTTCCCCACAGACGGCGCCAAATTGTTTCGGGTGAAAACAATGGGACCTTGCCGAAGGTCCGCTGAAATGGAGAAGACTGGATTCGGTCCAAGTTACGTTGGGCCGAAGGTTTCCTGCACAGTAAACACACGTAAACTAGCCTCGGGGGTGTTGCCGAGGAAGGCCCTTCCGATGCTAAAGTCAGTACAATGTGTAAAAGGAAGACACTATGCAAGAGAGTTTGTAGCTTGAGGCTTTTGTGGAATATTTCTGAATGCCAGAATGAGCATATCAATTGGAATATCAATATGAACGTCAATGTGTGAATGTGTCAATATGATGGCTTTTATACCTCATCATACATGGAGAGGTTGGGCTTTAGCCCAATTGGCTTACTTTGTGGGCTGACCTTTGACTTTTGAGCAATTGGAGAGTTGAACCTTGACCTTGGGCTTTTAATTGGATCATTTAGTGCTTAGGCCCAATTTTGACTAAATTGGACCCAAACAGCATTGTTGTTCAAGAAGCCCTTGCAAAACGAGGGATGAGTGTTGACAAAATGTGTCCGTGTTGTGGTGAGATGGATGAAACTTTGATGCATTCTCTTGTGCAATGTGAAGATACTCGTATTATTTGGTATGTCTCACCGTTGCGGCTTGATATTCCCAGTAACCCTGCCCTCTCTTTTACAGACTGGTACTACTCTCTAGTGAGTACTTTCAAGGAGAAACGATGGTGGGATGTATTCTAGTGTATTTTGTGGGGCATTTGGAATAAGAGGAATTTGTTCCTCTTTGAGAAGCGTACTGTTGAAATCGAAGACATAGTGCAGAAAGCTATTGGGTTGGTGGGTGAGTTTGCAAAAGCCAATGAGAAGCGTGGTACCAGAAGCAATTCTGAGCAAATTTTACAGAATTGGTCCCCTCCTAGACCAGGTATGTACAAGGTTAATGCTGATGCTGCTTGTTTCAGTGAGGGTGGAGTGGGTTTAGGGGCTGTTATGAGAGATTGGAAAGGGGACGTGATGGTGGCTACCTACTGCAAGATAAAAGGGAGGTTCGAGATTGTTGTGGCTGAAGCCTTAGCAGCTAGACACGCATTATCAATTGCCTTGGAAGCGGGCTCCTTCACATTACGCTAGAGGTGGACAACTTGACGTTATACCACAAGCTTGTAAATCATATTTGTGATTGCTCTGCCTTGGGGAACATTGTGAAAGATATTCTGCACCTGTGCAGATTATGTAACTCAATTGAGTTTTCTCATGTCGGGAGGGGAGGCAATAGAGTTGCTCACAAATTGGCTAATGTAAGTAGAGATTATGATGAGCTGAGGGTCTGGATTGAGGAGTTCCCTCCTTCTGTTGCTGCTGATGTAGCATTTGATGTAACCTGAACTTTTGCTCCTCTTTATTAATACTAGCAGTTTTCGTCAAAAAAAAAATTAATTTTTAAATTTTTTTTATTTTTTTTAGGGAACATCCAATAAAATTGATGAGTTCATATATGCAAGTAATTCAGTAATTGTAGATAGATCAATCGGTTTCATTAACACAAAATTATCATGTTTTTTCAAACAATTTATTTAATGGTTATATTTTGTTCATTTATTAAATTTAATTAAAGATATAAATTATCATTTCATATATAACTAATACTCCCTCCGTTTTTTTCTAAATGCATCACTTTCCTTTTATGGGTGTTTTTTTTTTAAATGCATCACTTCCCTATTTGGTAACTTTATACAATATTTTATCATTTCTCTCTCTTACTTTAAACTCTATTTAAAATATTTTATCATTTATTTCTCTTCCATGGTCCCCACTTATATAATAAAAATATTTACAACCCTCGCACTCTTTCTCTTTCATGGTCCCCATCTAACTTTTACTATAATAAATTATTCACCCACTCACAATATTATATTATCCTCCTAAAACTCCGTGCTTCACCCAGTGATGCAAATAAAAAAACGGAGGGAGTATATGAAGTTAAACTTTTAGACAGAGCACGAGACAGTGACACTTGGTGTTTTAACTTTTCGTTAAGTGTCGCGCCACTAGGCGATCTACAAGGATTATTTTGACACATATGATGATAAATAACCGAATTCGATATATTTGTTTAGAATTTAGAGTTTTAATTTATACTAGATTTCTAATAGTTTGTATAAAACAAGTTATAACTTAAAAAAATATCTTATAATTTTGTTAATTACTTCATAAATAAAATTTAATAAACTAAAATTTTAGCCTAGAGCATGAGACAACGACACTTGGCATTTCAACTTTTTGCCAAGTGTCGCGTGACATGGGCGATATATAATACTACCTCCATTAATTATTATGTGCAACAAAGGAATATTTTATGTCTCACAAATAATACCCCTTTGTTGCACAAATAATTAACGGAGGTAGTATATAAGTTTATTGGTGCCCAGTGCGATGCCCGGGTTGTTTATTTAATTTTAGTGTAATTTTTTTTTATGTACCAAGTTTCTAAAATGTATCATTTATACAAAATTAGTAAGAAATTAATGTGGTTTTATAACAATTCTCGATCCCTACCCTAAAGTGACTCGACTTGAAATAACCTATGACTTGAGAAGTTTAGATACAATAATAAAATCACATTAGACAGTGAAGTATTTTATCTCAATCGATTAGAGTATACTATAAATAAATATTGCACGTTTTGAACTACTTTGGTGATAAGTATGATATAAGAACATATTTATGTGATAAAGTATTTAACTATTATATACGTGGCGCGACTTTAGTGAAAAGTTGAAACGTTAATTGTCACTGTCTAGTGGTTTGGCTAAACTTATAAAAATTTATTAAATTATAATTCTAAAAAATTATCATATAAATTTATTTTTTTTATCATAATATTTTTTGGAGTGAAGGAAGTAGTTCAAAGCGTAAAACATCCATTAATAAATTATACTAATCATGTTAAATAATATAATTCATAATCTAATAGAATTTTGTTACTATGTAGACCTGTCAATTAGGGTCGGGGCATGAGTCATCTCAGATTGGATCATTTCAGGTTACGAGTCAAGAAATGTTCAACTCTTGCCCAAAGTTTTGGGTTCGGATCAAACCAATGGGCTTTGAATATTTATTTATTTTTTATTTTTTTAATGTATTAAATCGAACATTTCCGCCAACATTATTATTAGGCATTACATGCCTACTAGATAGAAAATCGTCACAAAAGCACATCAATTCATAACTAATTTTGTATCAATGATATATTTTAAAATGTGATACATAAATTAAAAATTTATTTTAAAATTCAATAAACAACCCGGGCATCGCACGGGGCACAAAACTAGTATGTTTTTAAATATATAAAGTATTAATTTCCTTCAAAGTACAATAGAAGATTTTGATGAATCTTTCCAAAATATAATATATTGACAACTATAAATTAAACTTGAGCAAAAAAAAAAAATAATAATAATAATATTCTTAACGTGCTAATTTGTAATGGAATTTTTTGTAAGAAATACATAACTGTAATATTATTAAAACCCATGGACTACATTATATTACGACACGTGGCATCTTTATGTCAACATGACATGGAACACATTAAGCTATCTTATATAAACCTAAGGCTTGACATGGAGGTTAACAATACTTAAGCTACCTGAAAAACTTTTCATATGTGTAACCTCTTTATAATAATGTTTAATTTAAAGGGAAACTCTTCATATGTATTAACCTCCCTAATTAATTTTTTTTCTTCTTATTATCTCCTTAGTAATTGCACAATAATAAAATCTAATTAGCAAGTAATTAATCGCACTAATGGTGATTCATTAGATACTGTGGGCGTCGTTTGAAGTGCGCCTACGTAAAAGCATGGTGTAAATATGCTTGGCACTCATAGGAAGTGGGAAGTGACATATACGATTAGGGACACGATTAGGGACAAGGAAAGTAGGGAGTCGCCAACACGTTTTAAAGGAACTTGTAAACCGTTCACGGATCATAAAAGGCAACCACGATTAAGGGACAACGATAGGCAACAACAATTGACCCGTGAAGGTTACATCCCATTCATAATCCATGAGATTACTAACTCCATATGGTTCGGAACCACGAAAGGAGGATCGGGGATGATGGTACGAAGTGAGTCATGGAGTCACATTCGCCCGTATTGGCCTCTACTCGATTCTTATTGTGAAAAGTGATTCCTGCGATCTCAAAGGCATACAAACAAAGATTCAATTTGCTCCAAACTATTATTATGCTAAATTGGTTGAATATTAATGCAACATATAATTCTAAAATATTGTGATCACTTGATTAAACAACAAGATTAAAAGGAACCTAAACCGGTTGTCCAAATTATCTTATTAGGCGTGATTTTCAATTACATATTCCCTTTAAACATGCAATATAGTGATCAATAATAATAATAGAATAAAAATTAATACTGGAAGCAATTTAACAATAATAACGTTAGTAAAATCAAATCATAACTCTAATCACGATAATAGCAACAAGAATAAAAATAAGAGTAATTAAGTATATTAATTACTCACTTTCGGTGTTTCCTTGAATTGCTACATTATGAATAAATTGTTAGTAACTTCAATAAAAATAAATCAAATTGAAATAATTAAACTAATTAAAAGTAGAGTTGATTTGGTCAAAACCCTCAGTCATTTATACCTTCCGCGCCTTGGTTTAAGGACGGAACCTCGGGTTAAATATGGACTCCTTAGAGTGCTTAAGGGAAATATTATGGAAGAATATGGTGGCTAGAATTTAGGCTAAAGAGGGGAGAAAGAATGATTTTTTGGTGTAGAAGAGAGGAAGAGAGAATGATTTGGTGATCAAAATTGTTGATGATTGAAAAAGGGGTGATATTACCTCTATTTATGGGGAAAAATGAGGGTCGAAGAATCAAGAAAAGATCGAGTTCGAATCGGATTAAAACTCTTGCGATAGACAACAGTTTTTGCGGTTTTTGTTTTTATCATATCTTTTGATTCAGAAATTGGAATAAGATAAATAAGATATCGTTGGAAAGATCTTGAAGTCTACTTTCTAACCCAATTAGAATCAGATTAAAATATTTTGTAGAAGTAAATATATGGCCGAAGTAGTGGGACGGTATCAGTTTTGGATAGAGTTTTTTATTTAATTCATATCTTTTTCGTTATAGCTCGGAATTGATATTATAATATATCATTGGAAAGATAATTTCAAGGGCTATCCAACCATATAAAATTTTGATAAAAATTATGATTCACGAAAATAATATATGTCTATCTTTGAACGTCTTTCAATTCGGATATAAGTAGGATTTCAAAAAAAAAGGAGTTTTATTCAATTTCAAACTATTTAATCTTATCTTTTCAAAAAGGATAATTAAGATCTTTAAGAAACTTATAGAAGCTTCCAATTAATCCTAATTTGTTTAGGAATGGGATTAAATAATTTGGACCCTCCACATGATCATTGGGTAGTAGGTAAGGTGGGCTTAGGTTCGGTTTGGGCTCGGTTTAATATTTTGGTCATAACTTATTCGTTATAACTCGGATTTGAGCTTATAATACATCGTTGGAAAGCTCTTTTAAAGCCCCATCCAACTATTCAATCATTGGACCCAGATTATGGACCAAAATAAACTGGATCAAACGTTTTTATAAAAATGACATGAAATGAATGATTTTAAAGGACACGAAATGAATTATTTTGGGTTTAAAGGCACGAAAAGAGGAAAATAAGTTATGGTTTGGGGAAATGGGCTAGGAATTGGGTTGGTTTATGAAATGGAAATATGAATTTAAGCACTCCAAAAATTAAATACTTAACCCGACCAATAATGGCGGTGAATGGTTGTTCATCATCGGATTTGGTTTTGGGGAGACATTTTTAGGTGTCTACAGATACTTATATTCTAGATTGAATAAGCATCAAACAATTTACAAGTAATATTTCATCATATATTGAATTTACCGTTATTAATGTTATTCTTTTGTTTCTCTAACTCATACGTCCATTATAAATAATTGTATGACTAAACTTTTTAATTGTGATACTATTTTTTTTCTCTATCTTTTGCATATGGCTTGGCAGTGCCTATAATTTACAAAGTGCAATTCTCATTCATAATATACAGGTAATACATTTTCGATTATTATTCTTATGAGTTAGGGCATGTTCTGATTTACTGAACTGAGCTGAGCTGAATTGTTTATGAGAGAAGAAAATTAGAAACTGAATTGAACTGAAATTAAGCTAAAGAGAACAGGTCCTGAGTGCTTATAAATTATAATGCACATTTTTTCACTTATACTATAAAAATCGTACGTTTCAATTATTCTTATCTCTTACATTGAAGCTAATATTTTTAGGTGGCATATGTGGC